CTCTGGTTGCCAGGGAGACGCTGTGAGGCAGTGATGCGTTCAGGAGGCTCTCGTGATGCATCACGGTGAGCACACCTGACCTGAAAGCTGCGTGTTTCCAGGTTCTGGTTTTTGTTCGTCATTGCAGTGATGAAGAGGAGTCGGCTGTTGGCGCTGCTGGTGGGCGGAGTCTTCTGCCTGGCTGTGATGTCACTGTACCGCGTGCTGGAGCAGATGCAGGGGGCGGAGCCTCATCGTCGCGGAGACGCACCTGACGAGCAGGTGGACGAAGTGCGTCACCAACCAAACCGAACTGAAAATGAAACATTATATTTTAATGAAGGTTTCTTTTCTATTTTAAAAATTTGCGATTTTTATAACAATAACTTTTCATGAAACAGAAAACAGTGAAATACAAAACACCAAAATAAAAGCATGTTGTTTTTTACATACAAGAACATTTCTGTAATCTGAGTTCATCAGTAATAAATAAACCAATCAAACCTCTGCTCCCAGGATTTGTCCCGCCTTCAGCAGAAGATTGACAGGTTGGAACAGCTCCTCAGTGACAACAACCAGCTGGTTGCTAGGCTGCGGGACTCTTTGCTCCAACGCAAAGTATCATGGGAAAGAGAGAGGGGAGGGGCCAATGGCAGCTCAGACTCTACCTACAGCCGAGCAGACCGACTTCCTGGCTGCCGATTGGCCAAAGAGATGAAAGATGGCGCAGGCGGAGTGCAGGTTAGCTTAGCATGCTAGCATCTGTTAGCTTAGCATGCTAGCAGCTGCTAGTTCATAGTGTTTTAGTTATGAAACGTATCAAAGGAAGCATCTAAAAAAAGGTTTTGCTTCTGTTTGTTTCTGAGCATTTTAGACATTTGAAGGATTCACAGTGTAAAGGAAATATGAAATATTATTTTATAAAAAAATGTTTTCACGTGTTTGTATCATTTCTAAGGATTAAAGAAAAACAGTTGAAGTCACTTCGTAAAAGTAATTAAAGGATCAGTTGAAACAGATTGTCCTATGTATTTTCGTACAGTTCTATATTTAACTGGACATTTTCATAGTTTTGAAATAATAATATATCGATATAAAAACGGTTTGAGATAAATTTGATGTTTACGCCGTAGCTCGAATAATCGATTGGTTGAATGCCAGAAAAATGATCTGCAGCTCTTTGTTTTGAAGCAGACGTGCAGAATAAAGTAATTTTCAGTGTTTCTGTCTCAGTCGACTGAAACGCTTCAAACGTTCAGCGACGTCCCTGAATTCTGCTGTTTAGACTTCAGACATCCATCCATTATCTATACACCGCTTAATCCTCATTAGGGTCGTGGGGGGCTGGAGCCTATCCCAGCTGACTCAGGGCGAAGGCAGGGGACACCCTGGACAGGTCGCCAGTCCATCGCAGGGCCAGACTTCAGACATTCAGCAATAATTTGAGAAAATAAACAGTTTAACGAGATTAATCAATAATGAAATAAACATTTACAGTTTTTAAAAACTTGATTATCTAGATTTTAACTAAAGAGATATTTAGAAAAACAATCGGAGGGCGGTTGAAGTGTAAATGTGGAGCGCATGCTACCAGCCAAAGACACACATACAGTCTGTAAACGTCTTCACTGAGTTTTCAAAGTTTTCTGATAAAACTGTTTTGTCTGTCAGCTGCTGGACGTGTACGACCTGCTGTCCTTCGATAACCCCGATGGCGGCGCCTGGAAACAGGGCTTTGAGATTGGTTACCGTGGAGACGAGTGGGACAACCAGCCGCTGGAGCTCTTCCTGGTTCCGCATTCACACAACGACCCTGGTGAGTAAAGCTGCACCGATTGGCTGAAGGCACGTCAGCTGACCTGCGAGCGAGGCTGACCGCGGCTGGTTGGTGTTTCAGGTTGGCTGAAGACATTTGACAGTTATTACCAGGACCAGACGAGACACATCCTGGACAACATGCTGCTGAAGCTGAGCGAGGACCACAGGTAACACCCACCAGCAGGTATCGTCTGCAGGAGGTCCTGTTCTCCGTCCAAACCCGCTCAGTCCGACCGGGTACCGAGTCAAACACTGTCAGTAGCATGTCACTGTCCTGTTTCAGTTACTGATCAATTATTTATTTGTCGTTCAGGAGGAAGATGATTTGGGCAGAGATCAGTTATTTCTCAAAATGGTGGAACGACATCGACGAGCAAAAGAGAGCGACGGTCAAACGGTAACTTCATCTCTTCACCGTGGTTTTCATTTTTCATTCATTCCGAACCAGAAAACTAAGAAATTTTTTTTTTTAATGAGTCCTTTTTTTCTTTTTCTGAGTCTTCAGCCAATATTTGAGTATCAAGACTCAATCGAAACTGAATTAAAACTGAAAGCAATAAAAATGTACAATTAAAATGAATGCTGAACTGAACACCTATAGCTCCCCAAGCTGAGTGGGCGACCCATGAACAGGGCTATAGTTAGCTATAGCTAGCTGTAGTTCCCTGTAGTGAGCTATAGTTCCCTGTAGTTAGCTATAGTTCCCTATAATTCCCTATAGTTAGCTGTAGTTAGCTATAGTTAGCGGTAGTTACCTGTAGTTAGCTATAGCTAGCTATAGTTAGCTATAGGTAGCTCTAGTTAGCTATAGTTCCCTAAAGTTAGCTCTAGTTCCCTGTAGTTAGCTATAGCTAGCTATAGTTAGCTATAGGTAGCTCTAGTTAGC